TAGTTTGGGCACATCATGAGAAGGCAGGATTCGTTGGAAAAGACAATAATTCTGGGAAATGTAGAAGGCTGCAAGAGAAGAGGAAGACCAAATATGAAATGGATTGACTCCATAAAGGAAGCCATAGGCATGAGCCTACAGAAGCTGAGTAGGGCTGTTGAGGACAGGACATTTTGGATATCACTCATTCATAGGGTCGCCAGGAGTTGGAGCTGACGAAGAAACATAACAACAAATCTCCTTTTTCTCTCTGGGATTTAGAATTTTCTCTTTCTAATTCAGAGTTCTGAAATTTCACAATTCTATGGGTGTGTGTGTTTGTGTGTGTGTAATATATCCAGTGTAGCACTAAGTAGGACTTTTCAATCTGATGACCCGTTTCGGTTTTCAGTACTGGAAATTTTTCAGATAAAATTTTGTTACATATACCACTTCTCTATGCTTTTAAAAATTTTCAGCTTTATTGAAGTATAATTGACAAATAAAATTGTGTATATTTAAAGCATAAAATCTGATGATTTGACTTATATATACTTCGTGAAATAATTTCCACACTTCAATCACCTCACTTACTTTTTTTTACTTTTTGAGGTGACTGCACTTAAGATCTATACTCTTAGCAAATTTCAAGTAAGCAACACACTATTATACTGTACGTTAGAGCCTCGGTTTATTCATCTTACAACTGAAGGCTTGTACCTTTGACCACTATTGTCCCCGTTTCCACCACCCCTCAACCCTTGATAACCACCATTCTACTCTCTGTTTCTATGAATTTGGGGTTTTTTTAGATTATACGTACAAGTGAGATCGTATAGCATTTGTCTTTGTCTGGCTTATTTCGCTTGGCATAATGTCCTCTAGGTTCATCCATCTTGTTGCAAATGACAAGATTTCCTTCTTTCTCGTGGCTGAATAATATTTCATTATATATATATACACACACACATAGATATACAAATTATATATAGAATAATATAACAATATATTCAATATATATATATATTTTTTTTCTTCATCCATTCATCCATTGACAGACACTTAGATTGTTTCTATATCTTGGCTATTGTGAATAATGCTGCAATGAACATGAGAGTGCAGATATCTCTGAGAAACTGATTTTGTCTCCTTAGATATATACCCAGAAGTGGAATTGCTGGATCATATGGCAATTCTATTTTTAATTTTTTGAGGAACCTCTATACTGCGTTTTATAATGGCTGTATTTATCTACATTCCCACCAACAGTGTACAAAGGTTCCCTTTTCTCCACATCCTTGTGAGCAGTTGCTACCTCTTGTCTTTTTGATAAAAGCCATCCTAACTAGTGACAAGTGATATCTCATTGTGTTTTTGATTTGTATTTCCTTGGTGATTAGCGATGTTGAACACCTTTTCATGTACTTGTTGGCCATTTGTATGTATTCTTGGGAAAAATGTCTATTCAGGTCCTTTGCCCGTTTTTTAATTGGGTTATTTGGTTTTACCTATTGAGTTATATAACAAGTTCCTTATATAGTTTGGATATTAACCCTTTATCACATAAACGGTTTGCAAATATTTTCTCTCATTCTATAGGTTCTCTTTTCAATTTATTGATTATTTCTTTTGCTGCACAGCTTTTTAGTTTTATGTAGTCCCACTCGTTGATTTTTGTATTTGTTTCCTGTGCTTTTGAGGTCATATGCAAAAAATAATTGCCATGACCAATGCCAAGGAGATTATGTTTTGTTCTAGGAGTTTTTAAGTTTTAGTTCTTGCATTTAAGTCTTTAATCCATTTCAAGTTAATTTTTGTGAGTGGTGTAAGATAGAGGTCTAGTTCTTTTGCACGTGGCTATCCAGTTTTCCTAGCACCATTTATTGAAGAGATGATTCTTTCCCCATTGTGTGTTGTTGGCACCCTTGTCAAAGATTAATTGACCATATATACTTGGGTTTATTTCTGGGCTCTTCATTCTGTTCCATTGGTCTGTGTATCTGTTTTATGTCAGTACCATACTGTTTTGATTACTGTAGCTTGTAATATAGTTTGAAATAAGGAGATGTGATACCTCCAACTTTGTTCTTCTTTCTCAAGATTGCTTTGGCTATTTGGGGTCTTCTGTGGTTCCACACAAATGTTAGAATTTTTTTTCTGTATCTGTGAAAAATTGCACTGGAATTTTGATGGAAATTGCATTGAATCTCTAGATTTCATTAAGTTGTATGGACATTTTAACATTATCAATTATTCCATCCCTGAACACAGGGTACCTTTCCATTTATTTGTCTTCCTTTAATTTCTTTCATCAATGTCTTATAGTAGTCAGTATATAGAGTTTTCACCTCCTTGGTTAAATTTACTCCTAAGTATTTTATTATTTTTGATGCTATTGTAAATGGGATTCTTTTCTTTATTTCTTTTTAGATAGTTTGTTGTTAGTGTATAGAAAAGCAACAGATTTTTGTGTATTAATTTTGTATCCTGAAACTTTTCTGAATTCATTTATTAGTTCTAACAGTTTTTTGGTGGATTTTTTAGGGTTTTCTACATGTAAGATCATGTCATCTACAAGCGGAGAAAAATTTTTTTTTTTTTTGTGAGGAAGATCAGCCTTGAGCTAACATCCATGCCAATCCTCCTCTTTTTGCTGAGGAAAACTGGCCCTGGGCTAACATCTGTGCCCATCTTCCTCCACTTTATATGGGATGCTGCCACAACATGGCCTGACAAGTGGTGCGTCGGTACGCACCCGGGATGTGAACCCAGGCTGCCAGCAGCGGAGCACTCGCACTTAACTGCTACGCCAAGGGGCCGGCCCCAAACGGTGAAAATTTTAATTATTCATTTCTGATTTGGATACCTTTTGCTTCTTTTTCTTGCCTAAATGCTCTGGCTAAGCCTTCAAGTACTACATTGAATAGAAGTGGCAAGAGTGGCCACCCTTGTCTTGTTCCTGATCTTAGAAGAAAAAGCCTTCATATTTTCACCATTGAGACTGAGTATGATTTTAGCTGTGGGTTTGTCATATATGGTTTTTATTATGTTGAGGTACATTCCCTTTATACCCACTCTGTTGAGAGTTTTTATCATAAATCGATGTTGAATTTTGTCAAATGCTTTTTCTACATCTATGGTAATGATCATATGATTTTTATCCTTAATTCTGTTAAAGTGGTATATCATATTTGTTGATTTGCATATTTGAACCATCTTAGCATCCCAAGGATAAATCCACTTGATCATGGTATATGGCCCTTTTAACATGCTGTTGAATTGTAATTGCCAGGATTTTGTTGAAGATTTTTGCATCTATGCTCATCAGGGTGCTTGGCCTGTAATTTTCTTTTCATGTAGTGTCCTTGCCTGGCTTCAGTATCAAGGTAATGTTGGCTTCATAAAATGACTTTAGATGTGTTCCCTCCCCTTCAACTTTTTGGAAGAGTTTGAGAAGGACTGATACTAATTCTTTTTGAAATGTTTGGTAGAATTCACCAGTAAAGCCATCAGGTTATGGGCTTTTTCTCATTGGGAGTTTTGATTACTGATTTAATTTCCTTACTCATTATTAGTCTGCTCAGATTTTCTATTTCTTTACGATTCAGTCTTGGTAGGTTGTATGTTTCTAGGAATGTATCCATTTCTTCTAGATTATCCAATTTCTTGGTATGTAATTATTCATAGTAGTTTTTTTGATCCTCTGTATTTCTGTGGTGTCAGTTATAATTTTGCCCCTTTCATTTCTGTTTTTATTTATTTGTCTTTTTTTTCCATTAGTGTAGCTAAAGGTTTGCCAATTTTGTTTATCTTTTTTAAAAAACCACCTCTTTCTGTTGTTGATCTTTTCTATTGTTTTTTGGTTTATTTCACTTGTTTCTGCTCTGATTGTTATTTCTTTCCTTCTGCTAACATTTTTTCTGGTTCCTTGAAGTATAAAGTGAGTTGGTTTATTTCAGATCTTTCTTTTTTCTTAATGGTGGCATTTATCATCATAAACGTCCCCCTTAGAACTGCTTTTGCTGTATCCCATAAGTTTTGATATGTTGTGTTTCTGTTTTCGTTTGTTTCAAGTTATTTTTTTCATTTCCCTTCTGATTTCTTTTTTACCCAGTAGTTGAGTTCTTGGTCTCTGGGTCTTTTCTTCTCAATTCCCTAGCTTCTAGCTTTCTATAAACCTATAGCCCTGATCAGTGAGTTGGTTCTTTCACAAACAACAACTCACAAAAACCCCTGCTATGATGCAGTGCACCTTGCCCTGGTAACTCATCTGGTGGAATACCTTCGGCCAGTTTCTTGCTGATGCTTCTCTGCTCCTGCTTTGCTTTCCAGTTCCATTTCTATTCTACAGTGATGGTTACCTCATTGGTGAGTATAGATATGTCTTTTTTGTATTTTATTTTTATAATGTATGCCTCAATGGTACATATTTGGAACAAAGGTGGTACCTAATCTGGATAGGAAATATAATTTGTTAATTTTCCATAGCATCTAATATTTCTCTGTGTCTGAGAATGTTGTAATGATATTAATGTTTTACTTTTTTTTCTCTACTAACTTTTTTCCCTTAGCTATTAGTTTTCTTTTTGAGTTTTGTTTTAGTTATTGGTTTTATTTTGTTGAGTTGTTTCTCTTTTTCACAGACTGAATTTTTCTTATATTTGATTATTCTTAGTAGTAATGTTATATAGGATTAGAAAGGATGGATTGCTATGGAAGGGAATGAATGCTTTGCAAGCTGAGCATCCAGGGTCCCCAGGCTTTTCTTATCAGCACACTTATCCTTCTGAGATTGAGTACAGCCTGACAATTAGCGGTAGCCAATAGGGGAAGCAGAAAAATAAATGGAATTTTGGGACATATTTTCTGTATTCAAGTTTTAGTTAAGTATCTGGTTATTTTGTATTTTTGGCAACATAAAATGTGACCTTATTACTTTTTTACTATTATTAAATATATTTGCCTCAATATATACTCTTTTGGAATAATCGTATCAATTTTTTTTGCTTTATTTTTTACAGTATAAGGAAAAAATCGCAGCTTGAGTCTGAAATCCAATCTTTGTTGAAACTGAAGTCAAAAAATGAGGAATTTCTTAAACAACTGTACAGAGAAGCTTATTATGTTAGTACTGTTTTCCACTTAACCAAATTTAAAACAGAGGAGTTAGAAGAGAAAATAGCAGAAGTCAGAAGAAAATTCAAGGTTTGTATCTCTGTGTTCTCAGTTATGAAAAATGGTAATTAACCTGAATTTTATTGATTTAATATTGATAGGTTTTAATTTAGACTATAACAATCTTTTCAAAAAAATTACTTCTTCTGATAAATCAGAAGAAAATCACTTCTCTTAGAGGTCCAGCCTGAATAGAAGAGAAATGGGGCTCAATGTAGCTAATCAACATTTGTGTCTACCTTTTGTTATTACCAACATTAAACTACCTGACTCACCAGAAGAGTGGTACTTGGTTAAGCCTCACTCATATATATACATAATAGTTCCTGCCTATGGTAGGAAGAAGAGATGTTGGGAAGTGTTCTTGCTCTGTTACCAATGCAAAAAAAGGGAGTACCTACATCAGTCCCGCAACTTATTGGATTCCAGAGCACCAAGCAATTTGTAGACCACAATGCTGCAGAAGCAACTGCTCATAGGCCTCAAATCCATTCCTAAGTGAGAGGTATGATGAATAGCCATTTGGCATAGAGACTAGCAAAGTCAACTCCATTTTACCACACCTGGGGGACCGCTGTAGGACACTGGTTCTCTCCATCACACATCAGATCCACACTTCTCCCATCTTTGACATTTTCTTCTTAAAGACTTATGATCATACAATTATCTGTAAAATATAGAATCTATATTCTGTGTCCAAGCCCTGTACTAGCACTGTCTTTAGTGAAGACTTTCTCTTGTGCTATCTAAATTTAGGACACACAGATCGTCTGCTGGTAAATGTTTCTGTACTGAGAGACCGGGGTTTTGTTCCCACATTGAGTCCGGCTGTTCAACTGATTTGGTGTATCATGCCTGTGTCTCTTCCCATGAGTTGTTCATTGGGGTTGTCATGTCTTATATGTTACAAAATTAATATGCTAAAAATTATGTATAGTAAAAATTAACCTCAAAATTATTATTATTATTTTTATTTTTGTGAGGAAGACTGGCCCTGAGCTAACATCTGTTGCCACTCCTCCTCTTTTTGCTTAAGGAAGATTGTTGCTGAGCTAACATCTGTGCCAATCTCCCTCTACTTTATATATGGGACACCGCCGCAGCATGGCTTGATGAGCTGTGCATAGGTCCACACCCAGGACCCGAACCCACGAACCCCAGGCCATTGAAGCAGAGTGCGCGAGCTTAACCACTATGCCACCAGGCCGGCCCCTCAAAATTATTTTTAAAATAATTAGGGATTATATTTAGGGATTTTAAAATAAATAGGGTTTGAATTGAATCTATAGATTGTGTTGGGCTGGACTGACTTCTTGACAAAATTCAGTCTTCCTATGCATTAACATGGAATATCTCTCCATTTATTTAGTAGTTCTTTGATTTATTTCATCAGAGTTTTGTAGTTTTCCTCATATAGATCTTGTACATATTTTCTTAGATTTATATCTAAGTATTTCATTTTGGGGAGTGCTAATGTAAATGGTATTGTGTTTTTAATTTAAAATTCCACTTATTCATTACTAGTATATAGGAAAACAGTTGATATTTGTGTTTTAACCTTGTGTCCTGCAACCATGCTATAATTGCTTATTAGTTCCAGGAGGTTTTTTTGTTAATTCTTTTGGATTTTTACATAGACAATCATGTCATCTATAAAGAAAGACAGTTTTAATTCTTCCTGCCCAATCTTTATATCTTTTATTTGCTTTTCTTGTCTTATTGCTTTTTTAAAGACTTCCAGTAAAATGTTGAAAAGGAGTGTGGAGATGGGACATCCTTGCCTTGTACCTATCTTAGTGGGAAAGCTTCACGTTTCTCACCATTAACTATGATGTTAGCTGTAGATTTTTTGTAGATATCTTTATCGAGTAGAGGAAGTTTCCTTCTATTTTAGCTAATTGAGAGTTTTTACCATGAATGGATGTTGGAATTTGTCAAATGCTTTTTCTGTATCTATTTATATGAACATGTGATTTTTTTTCTTCATTAGCCTGTTGATGTTATGGATTACATTGATTGGTTTTCGAATGTTGTACCAGCCTTGCATACCCCTCTTTCATTTCTAATATTAGTAATTTGTGTCCTCTTTCTTTTTTTCTTAGTTAACCTGGCTAGAGGCATATCAATTTTATTGATCTTTTCAAAGAACCAGATTTTGGTTTCATTGATATTTTTCTGATTTCCTGTTTTTAATTTCATTGATTTCTACTTTAATTCTTATTATTTCTTTTATTCTGCTCACTTTGAATTTAGTTTGCTCTTCTTTTTCTAGTTTCCTAAAGTGGAAACTTAGATTATTGATGTTAGAGCTTTCTGCTTTTCTAATATATGCATTCAATACTATAAATTTCTCTCTAAGCACTGCTTTCACTGCATCCCACAAGTTTTGATAAATTATGTTTTTGTTTTCATTTAGTTCAAAATATTTTTAAATTTATCTTGAGATCTATTCCTTGACTTTGTGTTATTTATAAATATGTTGTTTAACCTCCACATATTTTGGGATTTTCCAGTTATCTTTCTGTTATTGATTTCTAGTTTAGTTCCATTGTAGTGTGAGAACAGAGATCGTATGATTTCTATTCTTTTAAATTTCTTTAGGCGTTTGAGTCATTTTTAATGCTAGAAAAAGACAATATATTATGTCCTTAGAATGCTCTGGCCACAGTAATCTGGTCTATAACTTTATAGTTTAGAAACTCATGACTTTGCTTGAGTTCTTTTTCAAATATTTTAACCACCCCCTAACTCTTCTTTGGAGAAAGATCTTGGCCCTCCCTTCAAATACTATTTGTTCATCTCTGAGACAAAGTTCATAGACCCTTCATCTGAGTAAAGTATAAGTCAGAACCTTCTAAAAAGCTTTCTTGAAGGGTATAATTTCTGCTACTTCAGGCCTACCTAGAGTATGTCCAGTTCAATTAGCAGAACAAAATATCTTTAATAAGCCAAAATTTGATTTGTGTACTATACACTTTCGATCACAATTCCAGGTGAGATGGATGATATTTTTAAATGTTGATAAAAGGGACATTCTAATAATTTATTCATTTTGATTGTTGAGGATTTATGCCTATTAATCAAATCTAGAGTATATTACTCTTCACCCATGTACAATAGCCTTTATTGAATTATGAGTTGATATTACATCCTTGGCTTTTAACAAAGGTTGGTAAAAGTTATGGCCAAAATTGACCATTGCTGCTTGGTTTTTCAAACTAATGAGAGAGGTAGTCATATTGTTCAAGATGGTCCAAAAACCTATGTAATTTATCGTAGGTTTCAGAACTAAGAAAAATTTTCCTTGATAAAATTGTATTCCTTCTCTTATTAATAATTAGGCAGTCTCTAAACTTTCATGTTTCCCTCTGGTTTAAGCAGCCCAGAAGCTCAGAGTCATTTATGCTATACATTCCTAGCATAATCAGTCTTCTTTATCCCTCTCTTTGTTCCATATTTACAACTTAGATCTTGTACTCTTTTACTTTTGTTTCATCGGTTTTTAATTTACTAAGATTCTTCCCTACTCCATTCAGAGGAAGAATACTTTGCCAAAATTGAGTGAAAGGAAGCTATTAACTGTAATATTGGGAACATCCACATAAGTGGTAAATGTTTGCTGGGGAAAAGTGTTAAGGTACAGATAAAACAGAAATAGTGTGAAAGTATATTAGATTTAAGTCCTTCAAATAGTGGCTGGGTATTCCTTTAGTCAAGCATCAGAAAAATTCATTTTCTTGACACATATTTGAGAGAGTAAATAACCCTGAAAAGTATCATAGAAATAAAGCATTGGACACTCATGGATCTTGATGGTGCAAAACATTTGAGGACAAAATAAAACTTTATCTGACTTGCTATAGATACCATGTGAGAACATCATTTCCTTCCCCTTTCTACTGGATTAGAGCTTTGCTTGCCAGGAAAGAGGTGGTAAATTGGCTTTGTAGTATTTCCATTTTGTTTCTATTTTTTTCCTCCCTTTTCCAAGAGAAATGTAATTCTGTTGAAAGAGTATTGATTTTGGAGTCAGATATTTCTTAATTTGAATCCTGGTTCTACTAATTATTTATTCCGATACTATTGAGAGTATTATTTAGCCATTCTGAATCTAGGTTTCTCATCTCTTAAATGAGTGTAACAATACTTGTATTGTACCTCTGTGTGATAAATAAATAATATTCCATATGAAACATTTAACTTAGAGTCTGATAGATAATATATTCTCAAAAGTGTTAGGGGTAAACAACATAAAGAATACTTCAAGAGAATGGGGGTACCTTCAATTTTTAGGATAGAACAATTTTTAATAACTGACCTACACATTTAACTCTGAGGCTGTCTCCTGCTAAATATGTAGATTAAATATGTAAACAACACATTGAAAGTAATAATAGCTATTTGTTGAATGCTTAACGTGAAGGTTGCCTTGGGTAAACTACTTTATATGCATTATCTTATTTTACTCCCACAATAATTTTGTGGAAAAGAATGTTATCCCAATTTTACATATGTGAAAACTGATATTTGATAATGGTGAAGACATATATATAGCAACTCTGATAAGCTGCTGAAGAATCTGACTCGGTGTAAATTAGTAGAACCTATCTGGAAAGTAATATCAATATATGTAAAGAACTTTAAATACCTTTGTAATCTATAATTCATTAACATCATTTCTAAAAATATGACTTAAAGAAAATCACCAGATAACAAAGACAGACAAAGGCAAAGGCTACGAAGATGCGTGTTTAATGATGTTTATGATTAGCTACATAACAACCACAAGAAAATATGCTCCAGGAGGCAAGAATTATTGTCTCTTTTGTACACTGCTGCATTCCAGTGCTTAAAACAGTTCTTAGAACAAAGTAGGCATTCAATAAATGTTTATGGAAGTTGAATACATAGCTAACATATAGTGGGAAAATTTAAATACAAAAATTTCTCAGTAATAGAATAGTAGTTAAATGTATCAGTACAAGGACAAATTGTAACTCATTCAATTTTGAATTAAGAAAAAATTAATG